ATAATAATAATAATAATTATTATTATTATTAGTATTATTATTATTTTATATAATAATAATAATTATTATTATTATTATAATTATTATTATTATTACTATTATTATGATTATTATTATGATTCATAATAATCATAATAATAATAGTCCCTTCTTTTTTCCACGATGGGGAAATTCAGTGTGAGTCTTTGACAGTTGTGCCAAATGCTACAAATTTGGAGCCACACATGTCGGTATGATTTGCCACAGCCATTTTGTCTGATTTCCTTTTTTCATACGAGCTGTTTCATTGCCAATTCTAAATATAATATTCAAACGAATCGCCTCAGTTAGAGTATTTGTGTTCATATATGAATATGAATAACCGAATATGATTGGTAAACGCAATTCTAAATATAATATTCAAACGAATGGCCTCAGTTAGACTATTTGTGTTCATAAGCATTAAACCGTAAACGGGACACTCACCCTGCATCGCTTCCGTATCCGCATATTAAGGCATCCTTTGCACCTTCTATTTTGTAGTAATTCTCTGTGGAAAAAGAACAACAACGTTTTCCTTCATCTTGGCAATTTGATCCTTAGAACTTCAGAAGTAGGCGGGAGTGGACTGGTTGTAAATTCTTCAACACATTTCACCCTCTACTGAACCTATTTCTTAACCTCTACTGCTCTAAGCTAAATGTTTTCATCCTTTAACTTGTCAAAAGCTGCTGTTAGCTTTTCTCTTTTAAATCTACTTAGGTACTTTTTCTTGATATGTTTCAGCTGACCTTCACTGCTGAGAAAGTCTGCCCTGGAGCTCCAGGTTCTGTTGTTGCACATGAAGGAAGCGCTGAAGCCGCGGGAGGCGTTAATGCAGTGTGCAAGACTGCGTACACATTTCTGACGCAGGATTCCCATGAAAAGCTGCAGGCCGATCAGGGCAAAGATGCTGAGGCAGAAGACGGTTAGGATCATCACATCAGCCAGTTTCCTCACAGACTGGATCAGAGCCCCGACGATGGTCTTCAGACCTTGATCAGAGAGAGACAGCATAGTGTTTGATCGGCTAATTGTGGCGACGTTAACGCATCACACAGCTTGAAAACAAGACGCACGTCTCACCGGGAATAACTGAGATTGTTTTTAGAGCTCGTAGCACTCTGAAAGTTCTCAATGCAGAGATGTTTCCGAGGTCTACGAATTCCGTCACGTACCTGCAATGTGGTATCAAACACAACCGTGTTAGCAAGCGCTCCACTTGAATCATTTGCGTACATTTCTGCTAAATGCATTGCAGCGTCATGTAATGTCATTTCTTACGTACGTACTGTACATTTTTCATCCTTTGGCTGGGTTTGCGACTTATACTCAGGTGATTTATATATTAAAATATATCATTTCACGTTTGTTATATTCACACTGACCGCCACTAGGGGGCACTCTAGGCTTGTGTACCAGTATCTGCTATTCATGTACCACTGAAAATTCACATGTTCGTTAATTTCACACTGACAGCGGCTATCGGGCACTCTAGCTATCCTGTGCGACTTATACTCCAGAGTGAGCTTTTTTTTTTTTTTTCTTCTTCCTCATTATGCATTTTTTTGGCTGGTGCGACTTATACCGCAGAGCGACTAGTCCGGAAAATAAAAAATCCGGAAAAATAATTGACACTTTTTGGCACTTTTTTCTATATTTCTTAGAATGTAATGAAATGTAAAAAATAAAAAAAATACCTTAGATAATTAATACGTTATTACTCACGCCATGACAATGACAGTGAAGTCCAGCCAGTTCCACGGGTCCCGCAGAAAAGTGAAGTGCACTAGACAGAATCCTCGGGCTAATATCTTTATCACCGACTCAAAAGTATAAACAGCAGTAAATGTATACCTAGAGGACGTTGATAGAATGAGAAAAACAATTGTAATTAAAGTTTAAGTGACGCTCAATCATATGGTGTCGATTTTCCCGTATCGTAGGTATACAAAATGATCAATCTTGAAATTAAAAACAAAACTACGTGCCACATACGTTGCACAGAATTCTACAAATCATCTGGCGATTTGCATTTTTATATGCTTTTTGTAATATATATTATATGTATGCAGCACCGTTTAGACAGAATCTGATTGTTGGTTACTTACTCCAGATATTTGGTCCATGGTGCTGGGTCAGACATGGCCATGAAAATACAATTAGTTAGTATGGTGAACATTATGAAGAGGCTGAAGAATTTGGAGGAAAAAAACATGTTAAGGAAAATGTCATGTAATTTGATGTGTTGCAGGAGACACGTTTAAATACAACAACAAAAGCACAGCTACCATGTTTCGCATAATCCTGTGAAATGTAAGTATCTGGCTAAATCCTCTCTCATTGCGTGACAATAGCATAAAGACTACAGGATATGCAGATTAGAGACAATGATACCACTCTGATTAATGGACGAAAGAGCCAACAACAAAAGATGAAATGGACATAAAAAAATAACGGTGTCAATATACAGTAGTGTGTCCATCAAAGAAAGACATTATTTTCAAAGTTTTTTGCACTAACATTTAGTAAGCGGGATGTATTTTTAGAAATCTTAATGAATGATCCTAAAGAATTTGCGTATTAAATGTGAAAGTGTTTGACCACTAATTGAACCACTTTGATGATGCTAACGTTAAACGATGTGAATTAAACATGAAACAACATAAGACTTAAGAGGGAAAAAAAAAAAGAGGAATCTGTTAAGAATTGGTTCGTGCAATAGGATACAGGAGTGTGTAACTTAAAAATGAAATACTTTTGTGTAAACTCTAAAAAAGTCTACCAAACAATTAGATTAAATCTAATAATATTTCTTTTTATATATATCTTTTATATATATATACAATTCTTAAGGAATAGTGAAATAACAATAATAGTAATGTTTGCCTTAAAAGGATATGAATGGACTAAACCTTTTATGGCAAACAATCTGACAAAATGAAATGGACTGAAAAGATGAAGTGCCGACGTGGCACTGAATCTGAAGATGATTCTCCCTTTGCTCAGTACTACAAATGTCTGCAAAAGAGAGACAGAAACAAACAAACAAACAAACAAACAAAACAAAAACAGTGAGATGCACAAACAAACAAAACAAAAACAGTGAGACGCCCAGCAATTTATAAAGAACAACACATAAGAACAGACACTGCAACCCTATCAATGTACATAAAGAGGTTTTGCTGTTTGCTCATACACATAGCGAACTTTATACCCTCTATCAGGAATTACTGATCAATCACAGGACAAGTAGCAGACGGGACCCAAAAGCAGTGCTCGAGCACACAGAAATCAGGTTACACTTTGGCTTTGGTTTTGCGACTTATAGTCAGGTGCGACTTATATATATTGAAATATATAATTCGACATGTTTGTTGTTTTCACGCTGATGGCCACTAGAGGGCACTCTAGGCTCGTGTACCAGTACCTGCTACTCCTGTACCACTGCAAAAGTTTGTTATTTTCACACTGACAGCCGCTAGGGCGCGTTAGCCGGTTGGTGCGACTTATACTCCAGATCAACTTATACGTTGATGTTTTTTCATCTTTTTTATGTATTTTTTTTTTGTGGCTGGTTCGACTTGGTTTTCTGGTCTCAAAAAAACTCGTCTGCGCACAGAAACCCAGAGTACTTAGGCTTAGGCAGGAAAAGGGACTGGAAAATCTCCGACAAAGGGCACTAAAGACTAAACAGATTGAAGTAAAAAAGGCACAAACAGACAGAGGCGGGGCCAAGTCCTTGCTTTGCAAGTCATAAGTCAGTCTCAAGTCTTTGCACTCAAGTCCGAGTCAAGTCTCAAGTCAAGACAGGCAAAGTCCGAGTCGAGTCCAAGTCAAGACTAAAAAGTGTCAAGTCAAGTCCCAAGTCCATACGTTTCTGTTTCGAGTCCTTTTAAACAAAATAATAATATATTCACACAGATCACTTTGGGTGTTGGAGAAAGTATCAAGTCTTGACGAGTCAAAGGGGCTCGAGTCCAAGTGAAGTCACGAGTCATTGATGTTAAAGTCCAAGTCGAGTTGCAAGTCTCTTTACGTGTTGTCAAGTCGAGTCTAAAGTCATCAAATTGACGACTCGCGTCTGACTCGAGTCCAAGTCATGTGACACAGCAGAAGGTTTAGCATGACAAAAAAAAAACAAAGAACAGAACTCCCTAACAAAGTAAGGCAACACAGAACGTTGAACAGAACTAGAAGAATTACAGGATGACTCTGTCGTCTGAAACCAACGCTGGCGCTCTTACCCTCTGGTTCTTGTAGTAAAAGGGGTCGATGTCTTCGAGTGGCACTCCAATAAGTTCCGGAGGGACATCACTGTAAACACGCGGAAGCTGCTTGCCTGCCTCTAGGTCGACCCTAGGACTGGAAGGTTCCGTGTTACTTTGCTCCTCCTGGCAACCCCTATTGCTTTTGGCCTGCTCATCTGCAATCCGCTTCTCCATAGCAGCCAAGGACTCCGGAGTGAACCGCTGCAAGCCATCACGACCCGTTAGTAACAGCATGGCTGCCATCTTGTCTTCCTGGGTTTTTCTGTACTTGAATTGATTCACATCTATGGGAGCAAAAAAATGTGGGAATCAAAGGGACGAAGGAGAGAGATTTTTTTTTTTTTTATGAACACTTACTATATAGACAAATTCACAGTGGGCCAAAATTGAAAAACTGGGACAAGTCGCAGGCCAAACTCTGTTTCGTATGGAAACAAACTTTAGTTTTGCGTAAACACCGAATCTGTAACAATCAAAGCTAATATTATAAACACGTGAGAAATTAAATTTGAAATAAGACAAAAAAATAAAATCAGTGGTATTTGTTTCTTATATGTCTATTTATAGCCTATTGAGTGCCTTTTTAAATATATATTTTTTTGTTTTCACAGGCCAACAACTAAACAACCAAAAATGTATGCACTATAATATGGTGCTTTTTTGGAACAAAATTCAGCCACTATATAGCTGCTAATAGACTCTAATATATATATATATACATATATATATATATATTGGAATTTTTATATATATATATATATATATATATATATAATATAGAGCTGAAGGTGCCGCATCCGGCCGTAGTTTGCCCATGCCCGTTCTGGACAGTCATATTTCCTGTGTGTGTGTGTGTGTATGTGTGTGTGTGTTTGTGTGTGTGCCAATGACCTTTCATCATCTGGGTTCCACTGGGATTAGGTCCAGCTCCCCCCGTGACTCTGACTCTAACTGGATAAACAGCAGATGATGGACGGAGAGATCGACAGTGACGATCGTTTGCTGCGGAGACACTGAAGAGACGGGAGAGTGAGGACGGCTAGGCACCAAATTCATTGGTCGATTTATCAATTTTAATCACATTTGGTAATGTGTTATTTTAAATTGGCAGATGTAATTGAGTTTATTGACAACAACCGTATTAGACTCCTGTTCTATCTGTTTATCTGGCGACACTGCTTTGGCACAGGTCGCAGTAAAGACTTTCAGTGAAGACACAGGAAAATAATACACTGAATGTGTTCATTTTCATTCAAACCCAGGAGCAGAAACACTAATGTCTTCATAAAACTGCTCTCCTGTGTAGTTCTCCACAGGACTGGGAGACCAATGAAAAGGGAGGCTTAACGGGATCAATACAAACTCGGTGGGTGTTGTTTGTCTATCGCAGCTATGCTATTCAACCAGTTTTAACACGGCCTACACCTGCATCCATTTTGTCCTAATCCTTTAAAAGGTGTAGCCCTTAATACACACGGTTCTGGGAATTTATTGTTACATGCATTAAAAAAATGTCCCCGCTGTGTTTCCACACTATGAAACAAAAAACTGACTGCACTTTTCTGTAGAGAGGCCGAGGATCTGGTTCAGATTAGAACAGAAAAGAAAAAAAAAAAAAAAAAAGCTCACATTGACTTCAGACACGACATTTTACTTACATTTAACTAAAACCATAAACTTCCTTTAAGCTGAATCAAAGTGACACTGCAGACACTGCGGCTTCACACCCAGTCCACGTGGTAGAAACAGAGGTTAGTGAAGGGCGTCTGGAGGTCGCCGTGCACGTTTCTACCAGCGCCATGAAAGAAACAGACAGAAAAAGAGAACGAACTGACATTCACAGTCAGAACAGAAACCTCGTTTGATTTGGACTTTTAGATTTCCCCTGTTTACCACAAAAGTCAGATATAAGCCACTATTAATGTCCTCCGTAAAAGTTGACTAACTGCTACTGCTCTGTCGCTACAAATCAGTCGATAAAAAAGAAGACTGAAAAGTATCTGAAGATTTACGTTCCAATAATATCAGACCGCCAGCTGTGTTTTTATTCTCTAAATAATTATTATCTAATTAGACTTTTATTTATTTAACCTCATTTGTGGCCTGTAAACATTAGCTCTAAAATAAATAAATAAATGTGTACTATATTGGTCCCATATTTGGGAAATTGCTGTGTCAGCAGCAGATATCCTGTTAACAGACTGCCCCTAGCAAACACCAAGCATCGAACGCTGGACATTCTGCTGCCGAGGCAGGCATGTTAACCGCTGCACCAGGGAACTGACCGTGAAATGAAATGACAAACCCTGTCATTAATGAAGCATTTTAACACCAAGTACAGACAATATTATATACAATCAAAATCAATGATATTATTTTCATCTGTTAAGTCATTATTTTGGAGACCTCCAGTATATGTTACAGACGTTTATATTCCGTATATGTTTTTTTAGTCCTCCACAACCAATTGTGAGACTTCACAGCACTGACTCCCAGCTTTATTTAACCTTCATTAATCACACACTGCACTCCAGTCTCTCAGTATGCTGTATTAATAGGCCACTATAACTGTCCGTCTTTATTTATTTTGGTTCTGATAAGGTCAGAATATGACTTTCCCATGGTTGGTTACTGATGTGGCCAAACCCCTGGGTAAAACACAGTGGCTGTGAATCAGACACCTGGAGATTTAAGGTTCCATTACTGACGACTAAGGACTTTATTGCCACTCGTTTGTCATCTAGAAAAAAAAAAACCCACATGTGTTTGATGCAGAAACGTGGGTTGGAGTAGAGACGACAGAGTCTAACTCTGGTCAGACCATCACATCTGATGATGCTCACATCACTGGGTGAATGATCTGGTGGTCACACTCACACAACACTCTGCCCTGGGCACTGGAGGGGGTTTGATGTCACTGTGTCATCACCGCATTCAGTTTTTTAAAACCGCTTTTAAATGTTGACGTGTTCGGGTTCATTGAGACATGTTTTAGTACCAAACATGTTGTTTTAGTTAAACAAAGAATGAAAAAAAAAATGTCAAAAGATTATGGCTGTTGAACGATTAAAACGTGATCAATTACAGAGTAGCTATTGATTAATCGTGACTAATCGTCATAATCAACATCCCTGTATATGACCGAAATACTGATGGATGAAAAAGACAG